GACTCAACTGTTGTCAGTGCAGAGCCCCGTTTGGATCTTCTGTCTCTCTCTCCCTGCCCCTCCCCCGCTTGTATGCTCACTTGCTCGCTCTCTAAAAAAAAAAAAAAAAAAAAAAAGTAAAATGGAGTCAGCTATGGATTAAAAATTAACTATTTTTGGTTTTTTGGAGAGGAGGCATTTTGTTTTGTTTTGTTTTGCTAGAAAAGCTGAGTTGAACATGCAGCCAGAGAATCAAGATTGTCATTTCCCAGGTGCCTGGGTGGCTCAGTCGGTTGAGCATCTGACTTTGGCTTAGGTCATGATGTCACAACTCAGCTCCTGAGTTCCAGCCCTGCATTGGGCTCTGTGCTGACAACTCAGAGCCTGGAGCCTGCTTCGAATTCTGTGTCTCCCTCTCTCTTTGCCTCTCCCCTGCTCGTGTTCTGTATGTCTCTCTCAAAAATGAATAAACATCAAAAAAAATTTTTTTAATATTGTTTTATCCCTACCCCTAACCCAAGTCTAGATGTTGAGACATAAATGAGGGGGAAGTCAGTCCAGCAAAGCAAACTGTTGGATTCAATTTAGCTAAATAGAACTGAATGCCTAACGTTACAGTGGCTTAAATCATTTTTTTTTTTAAGTAGGCATTTCAGAGCTGGTGTATAATTCTACAGTGTTGTCAAGGAACCACACTCTTAAATATTTCTTCTCTATTGTGCTTAGCCCTTGGCTTCCGTCTTTGGGTTTACCACATGATCCAAGGTGGTTACCAGGGTGCCAGCTATTTCATCTACATTCCAGGCAGCAGGAGAGTGTTGTAAAGAGCCTTTCTGGAAGTTCTGTTTACATGTCATCGGCCAGAGCATTTTACATAGTTTCTGTAGTCAACACTTAACATCAAGGGAGACCCAGGAAATACAGTCTTATCCTGAGCACTAATATGCCCACCCCCAAAACTGGTATTCTGGTAAAAGGATAAAGAGAAGAATGGATGTTTGGATAGGCAGCTGGTAGCCTGCCACAGTCCGCTCACTGCACAGTCTTGGCCTTGCTGTCCCTTGGGAGCTCATTGAGCCCCAACAGTGGGACGCAGTTGTGCTTGCCTTACAGCACAGCAGCAGTGAGAGAGAATGAGTCCAGAGGGAGCCAGGAAGAGACCGAGGGTCTCAACAACCCCCTGTTTTCTTCTGGAACTCGACAGTTAGATAACTCATTGCTCTTCCTGTGGGGAGGCATAAGCCCAGATGGTAAGAGGGACCAGAGTGTTTCTGGAACACTGTTCCCTCCTTCAGAACCCCGCTGATGGAACATGAGGACAGGGCTCACCACGACTGCACGTTTGCCAGCCTCTCCTGTGAGGCCTGCGCCGTCTTGCCCAAGGAAATGCCACCTCACCCTCTAGCTCTAAGCGTAGAGGGCACCTTCCCTTTGCACCTTTCGTGACCCACATCGTGACCCCCAAGCAGGTCTTGGTTCTTGCACATCAGCGTGTTCAGACTAAAAGGACAGCGCTCCTCAGATGCAGTTGGGACTGTCCCTTTCTATGCCTGTTTCTCCTCCTCTCTGTTCCAGACAGTGCGAAAGTGTGCAGTGTTTGAGGATAGGAACGTAGCACTGTTATCTTTGCATTTCAGCTCCTCACATGTTACCGAACACTGAAGAAGCACCAAATGTTCACTCAGTGGTGCAGAAGCTTTCCTCCTCTCCTGCTCTCCCGGTTTCAGAGATCTTGAGAAGTTGAATGGCCTAGCACGTAGTAAAAGTAATGCGCATCTGTACTTATTAAACCCTCATTATGTTTGAGAGTCTGTGTGTATTATTCTCAGCCCTCTTATCAACCTGGTGAGGCACGTGCATATCATTATCCCTATTTTACCCTGAGAAGAGTTGGCCAAGGTTACAGATCAAGGAAGTGGCGAAGCTGGGATTTGAACCTAGATCTCTTTCTGAGTCCCTGTGCCAGCACAGTGTGGTCCAGACCCAGTTCTTTTGAGTCTATGCCTAACCCAAAGATACTTGAATTTTATCCCCTCTTCCTGCCCTGCTTTGTTGTAATGCAATAATCTTTTAATGCTGCTTATTAAGACAGGGCATCCTTGGTGTAGACAGACATGCTTCTCAAAAGAGGCATTTCCCCAGTAAGGAACAATGCTGCACCTCTGCTCAAGGCCTGCCTGCATCTGGCCCAAGTCACCAAGAACTACTTACAGACAACATTTGGAAGGAAAAATCAGACAGTTAATCTGTCCAGTTTAAAACCTGCTGGAATTGGGGGCATCTGGGTGGCTCAGTCGGTTAAGCGTGCAACTCTTGATGTCGGTCGGCTCGGGTCATGAGCTCACGGTTCATGGGATCAAGCCCCGTGTCAGGTTCTGCACTGACAGCATGAAGCCGGCTTGGGATTTGGCTGTTAACAGGTTTACAGCTAATTAAGGCCAGGGAGGTGCAGGCTCCCCCTAGTTCTTTTTGTATCACAAAAAGTGAGACTTCACATGTTTAGGGAGTTGGTTTATCTCGTTGGGAAGGAGAAAATGGATAGCCTGTCACAGGGATCCAGGAGAAATGCACAGAGTCCCTGCCCTTCAAGAAGAGATTCATGTGTGTTCCCGTAATTCACCACTTTTGACAGAAGGCAGTGCATCCGTCACACAAAATTTCTTCCCAAACGGCTAGCCACATTTCTGTAGTTACCCAAGAAGAAAATGAGATATTGAACTGTAAATATTTGCTCTGCACCGTGGACTCCTAATGCTTGATATCCTAAAGCAGAAGGTTCATAGAAGGTTCTTGCAGCCTTGGGCGTTCCCCTGCATTCTTGAGATCAAATCCTTTTGATCAGAGCGTTATCCTTTGGGACATCCTGCTCCCCCTGCTCTCTCCTAGTAAGGATGGCATTATAGGCTCCAGCAGGTTGAGGGACAGTGAGTTAAGACGAGCAGGGATGGCATGCAGACAGTCATGTGATCCCGTCATTTCATTGTATGTGAGAATGGGGGCCTCAGCCTGTTTACTGTAGTAACTGTTTTTAAATGCAGTCAAAAATACGTATTACATTGCAACCCAGTATATACATGTAAACACCTACAGAGAGATACACGCATGCACACACATAGCGGGTCCCAACCTGAAATGGTGGGTGAAGCCGTGCATCATGATCACAGCACAAGCTCGAAAGTCTGAGCTGCCAACAAGCCCTTGCTCTCCTCTTTAAACCTCCCGAAAGAATTTTGAAAAACCGCATACCCCATCACAATTTAAAGTTGTCATCTAATGTTTTTTCTCCCCAAATTTAAATACTTGCAAAGACCACAACTTCCAGTCTGCCATTAGTATGCCTTAAATATAGTTTTGTCAAACTCTGGAGCCATGGATTTGGCTCAAATTTATGGAAGAGGTCCATTGTATAACCCAACGGCCAAAGCCATTCCTCCCTGCCTCGCCTATCAAGCTAATCAGACTTAACTCCCTGTCAGAAGCGAAGTCAGTCTTCATTTTGCAATTCAAATAAAATAATAATGTGCCCACCTCCCAACCGACAACTGTTTTGAATTCTAACTCTGAGACGCAGAGAGACAGGTGCATGAGTGGGAGGGGAAAGCCTTGCCAGGAGTCCGTGCCTGGTTGAAATAAGGCACTATTCCCGAGAGACCTTCTCTCAGGAGCGAGGCTTTCCCAAATTATCCCTTGATTTAATGACTGGGGGTTTTTGCAGCCCAGGGCCAATCTCCTGCAAAGGTTTGAGATGGATAAGACGTGTATCTTTCATTGGTAAAGTGGCAGAAGACCAACTGTGACGGTGGACGTGAGAAGGGAGAATCAACAGATCTCAGATCTCTGGTCCTTTTCAGTAGGGTCAGTGTGGGGAAGACGTGCTTAACGGTTTGTGAGTTCGAGCCCTGCATTCAGGCCCACTGCTGTCAGCATAGAGCCCACTTTAGATTCTCTGTCTCTTTCTCTCTCTCTCTCTCTGTCTGTCTCTCTCTCAAAATAAATAAACTTTTAAAAAAATAAATAAATGCGGAACTGATTCTTCTAAGGTTATGACTGGAACCCCCAGGAGAGTTCGCAGATACCCCTAGGTACTTGAGCCACTGTTCTAAGCCCTTAGTACCCTCATATGTAAAGTGCACACGGTAAAAGTACCTACGTTCAAAGACGGTTCTGGAGAATGAATGAGGTCACTTAACAAGTCATTTCTCATCGGACCAAGTCATCCCTGACATGAGTGGGTCCTGGCCCCACCTAGCCAACTCCGTCCACACTCGGCAACCAGCAGCCTCTCAGCCGCCCTTTGGGCCCGGAACCCCCATCTGGTGGCAAATTTCAATCGTAAAAGGACAGACTTGGATAAGAAGCTCTCACACACCCTGGAAGTGATCACAGGTTTGCCTGGGCAGGAAATCTAGGCGCCTCACTTTCTAGAACTTGCTCTAGAGAGGGTTGGATACAGGTCTGGTGGGCACCTCCCCCTGGTCCAGTCGATTTCCTGCCCAGACAGAACAGGGCAGGAGCCCTCATAAAAACAGGTCCAGCACCGTGGGCCCGCCTGCTTAGATCTGAGGGTCTTACCTCAGGGCTGTTGGAATCAGTTGACATATAATGTGCGAATGTGTTTCAAATATAAGACCTGGGGATTATCTTGATGGCCTTCAGAATCCTGAATTCAGTTGAGGTCAGCTGCCTTTTTTTTTTAACTTTTTTTTTTTAATGTTTATTTTTGAGACAGAGAGAGACAGAGCATGAACGGGGGAGGGTCAGAGAGAGAGGGAGACACAGAATCCGAAGCAGGCTCCAGGCTCTGAGCTGTCAGCACAGAGCCCGACGCGGGGCTTGAACCCACAGACCGTGAGATCATGACCTGAGCTGAAGTCAGACGCTTAACCGACTGAGCCACCCAGGCGCCCCTAAGGTCAGCTGCCTTAAACAAACTAACGGGAACCACAGAAAAAGGCAAGTTCCCGAACAGATCTCCCGAATCTTTCTCAAAAACAGAAGATGACACTTTGTTTTTGTTCCAGGCTCTGGCTTTCAGGCATCAGGCTACAGTTTCAACACTTACGAGTGGAGGGGTCCGAAACAGAGAGGTAGCCTGTCCCCAGTCACGAAGCCACGAAGCCAGACCTACCCAGACGTGGGGCTGAGTAATGAAGACTGGGATCGGTCCACAGTCAGTGGGTAAGGTTTTCGTCAACTGCTGCTTTGTGGCCGTTAGCCCAGATCCGAATCGCTCCACTTCCGATGGCACATACGGCTAGCGTGGGAAGGAGCCAGTGTCATCATGCCGGCCCCATGGCAGGGCTCAGAGACCTGTGCCTGCCCGGCTGGATCCCGGGACCACCCCACGGCCGGACAAGAGCTCATTTTCCCCCTGATGAAAACAATAGCATGTGGGAAAAACTACATCTGTAAACCCTGTCCTCACTCTCTGACTAGTCTCCTCTCCTTACATTTAAAAGGTTGCTTCACCAAAGCATAAGAGACTCTTCAAAAACTGAGAACAAACTGAGGGTTGATGGGGGGATGGGAGGGCGGGGAGGGTAGGTGATGGGTATTGAAGAGGGCATCTTTTGGGATGAGCACTGGGTGTTGTATGGAAACCAATTTGAGAATTTCATATATTAAAAAAAAAACTAATAAATACATAAATAAATAAAAGGTTGCTTCATGTCAGCTTAGGTTAAAAAAAAAAAAAGGTACATCGAGGATCCCATAGTTTGAATTGAGATGTATTTTAGCATTTTGTTCCTTACCATAGTATTTAAAATTTTTTTTAACCTTTATTTATTTTTGAGACAGAGAGAGACAGAGCATTTTAAGGAAATTCACAAAAACCGATAGCACGTGAATGATCTCCACTGACATTTATAAGTGGGAAAACATGTTTCTCTTAAAGGGAAGCTTGATTTCTCTTGCACTAGACAGATCAGTTGAAAGATAGGCCCACACGGTGCCATGTTGATGCAATTCACCCTGCAGGAGCCACGAACGCCCTAAAATTCAGTTAACAGGACCGTGGTCCTTCCCTCCCTCCATTCTCTGAGATACTCTGCATTTCCTAGAGCACCCTCACTTGGTGGTTACAGTTGGAAGAAAGCCAGATCCCCAAACAGAATCTCCATTTTTTTTACACGTGGGATGAAAGAGAGAGATTCCGAATGATGCCTCGGCGAGTTGTCAACCCAGACTGTGCTTTTTGACGACAGTTTTACAGGGGCTCCCGACAGTACGGACGCTGAACAAGAGGAGAACTTCTGGTCCCAAGCGCTGGAGGACTTGGAAACCTGTGGACAGTCGGGAATTCTGAGAGAACTCGAGGTAGCCTCGGTCCTGCTACTTGTATTGTTTCTACATTCATTTTCTTTTTTTTTTTTTTTTTGGTCCTTTTGAGTTTGCATTTATCACATCAGTTCATTTAAAAGCTTTAACCCCTTTCCACAGGAGAAAGCTGACAGGCGTGTGTCTTTGAGAAACATGACTCTCTTGGTAGCTACCCTTTATGTTTATATTTTTGCTTGTGAAGCTGCCTTCCCTGCCCCCTTGCCTCCTGGACAGCAATTTGATTTTATTCAGTGCAGTTGAAAGTATTTATTTCCCCATTTCCACCCCCACCCCGAGCTTTCTGACTTGTGGCTTCTGCCATTGCTCCCTGCTAACCCTGACTGTACCTGTTTGCCACCGAATCGCTGGGGAGGGAGCTAAGCCCCCCAGCAGTGGCACATCTCACTCTCTGAGTTGCTTTAGAAAGGTTTCTTTGGCATGTTTTCATTTGTACCTGGTATAGCAATTGATTTGATCGTGAAGAGGAACATAAGAGGAAATTTTATTTTATTTTATTTCATTTTGCCCTTGAAGTAGATGACAAATGCAGCTGGTGAAAATGGCCAGTCTGTGTGAAAAAAGCAGCCAAAATATTACACAGTACTTTGCTGTTAATTGCAAATCCTGATTCCGTATCGACTTAGTGTGAATTCTAGGAGTTGTGGCAAGATGGAACACAATAGCTGGACTCCCGGTGAGTTCTTTAATCAAAGCCATGAATTTGCTGACGATACTCACACTGTGGTCTAGGAGGTCCTGGACTGTTTCCTTTTATGTTCTTTTTAAATTTTCTGAGCTGTAAAAAGTAAAGTGGCAAAAGTCTCATTTTTATTTTGACGTCATCTGAGGTCCCCAAGTCACCATAAGGAATGTGAATGGCATAACTGGGTGAAACTGCAATTCTAAAACGAATACTCATCTTTATATTGTTTTGCTTCTCGGTTGCATGTGTGGATATTTTCATGTGATTCTAATGTTTGTGAATCTGCAAAGAGAATCATAAAGAAAAATAGTAGTTTGAATTTATAAATATAGTATTACCTGGCATGAATTGAAACTTCAGAGCACAGTTAAAGGGCCTGGAGGTGGATAATACTATAAAACTTAAATAAATTAAGACATTGGCCATCGATTCCTTTTTAGGCACCTTTCAAAAAGAGTAAAATGCTTAAGTATCAGCTGGCTTATTTAAACTTTTACCACTTCCTGGATGTAGAATGATTAGCAGAAGGGGTCCAAACTGGATACTGAGCTCAATTCACAATTCTTGAACATACGCCTGCTTCTGAAAGCGCACTTGGCCCATATGCCTTTTCCACTTTGCGCTCTGATACGTCTCTTTTAAAGAAACTATTCTTCTAATAACATCTTTCACAGCAAGTAAAACCAGGGCGATGTAAAAAGTGGCACAATGAAATTGGGTTTTCACTCATTTCACTCAATACTCTAGTCATTGTCCCCATTAGCTAGCAAATTGATTTATCTAATGAAAACAAACATCTATGAGCATAGAAATTATGTTGCAAATAAATAAATAAATTAATTAATTAAATTAAAAAATAAAAAAAGAAATTATGTTGCAAAAGCCTATAAATGTAAACTTTTTCTAGCATAGCTTCAGGCAGGTGTGGCCCTTGAAATTATAAATGCAGAAAGGAAACGGGTTGAGTGTGTAAGCCAAAAGGAAGTTAAAGTCCTCAATGAGGAAGAATGATTGGCAAATCTAAAGAGACTTCTTTAGACTTTTATCAAAAAGAATATTCATTCACTAGTTTAAATGAACTCTGATCGTGTGATTGTAAATGTTACCGTGCAAAAAATATTATGGGAGCTAGTTTCCTGCGTATGAAATTTACATCCAGCATTAAAAGTTACAGCATATTATAACCATAATAAATGTAAAAGATTAGCTAACATGAGAAATGATTACGATTGAAATGGAAATGAAAATTATACTAGTCATTCTTCCCATTAGCTGGCAATAATTTATGTTCAACTTGAGCACTGAAAAATGTTAAAACAGAAGAAAAAAATTCAGACTAAGACTTAGGACAAGTTACTTAATCTCTTTTACCAGATATTTATTCTTCTGTAAAATAAGGGGATTATAATGACTAATGCTTATATGGCACTTAACACAGAACATAACACTTGATAATTATTCAGTAGAAGTTATTATTTTTGCCATTTTTATTAATTAACAGTGCCTTAGCTATTTTCTGTTTAGGATAATATATGAAAAAATTTTAACTAGATATCAGATAGAAAACTCTTGAACATACCCCTCTAAGTTACATGTATCTCAGTTATCTCATTGAGAACTTGGGAGGTTATAACTATAAATTATTAATTGTGCAAAATGGAAACAGGCAATAGATATTCTTGAAGTGAAAACAAATCCTAGGTAATTTAAAATAATCATTTTTAAACTTTATTTTAGTTTTTATATGTGTACTTTAATTTTTATATTCCTTCATAGTATTTCAACTGAAGTCCACTTTAAACAAAGCAATCAAGCTGTGCTTTGGAAACTTGGTTCCATCAGAACTCCATTTAGATCAGTTTGGAACTTCCGTAGTGGCTTAAGTTTCAGCCAAGCAGAATTGTGATTAAGTATTTTACTTCCGACGTGTTTCTCCTACTGGTCCCCTGAAAGTGAATGAATATAAATGAATATAAAAATGAATAAATGAATAAAAATAAAAATGAATATAAAACATAGATGTTAACAAAGCAAATAATGTGTCTAAGTAGGTAAAAACAATAGAGGGGTGGTCAGCACAGCAAGAAAATAATCCCTGGGTTCTGTCATCAACAGTAGACAAAAAAATGTTGTATGTGGGTTAAGTGCTATAAAATAAAGGATGTCCCATGACACCAACAAAGCTTTCAATTTTAAAAAGGGATTTAACTGAAATAAAACAATAATATGGTTAATCCACATTTGTTTCAATATTAATCTCCAAAAAAGTCAATTTTATATGCTTCAACCTAATACTTGACTGGGAAGCAATATAGCCTGGTGGTCAAGGGTAAGGTTTCTAGAGTCAGAGTGTGAGGGCTATAATCCCAGACTCTTGGGCAACTTGCTCAATTTATCTGGGCATCCCTTTCTGTAACTGAAATGGGGAAGTATGATGACTGTAATACCTATCAGAAACTTATCATAAATATTAAATGACATTCTACATACACATGTATATGGTATTACGTGTGCTAACATGTTAAAGGTCAATGGCCAGTAAGGTTTTTTTTTTTTTTCTTTTTCAAATTATCAGTAAGATAACTGATCCAGTCAGGATATTGATAACTGGTTGTGTTTTTTGGGGTTTTTTTGTTTTTTTACAAGAGTTGTAGATATACCTACATGTGCTCCAATACTGGGCTGCCATTCGAAGATCACATTAGTGGTGCGTGTATAGTCGAACGCCAGGTGAATCTTAGAGTCACAAAATCTTAGGGAGATAACAAGTGAAAGCTCTATCACTTGGCAGTGTTCCCTTCTAACCAACCATTTTAGACGGTGCCCTTGGCTCCATCTATGTGATGGAGCCTACGTGACCTTGAGTAAGTCAGCCTCTTTGTGCCTCAGTTTCTGCACCTACAAATTAGGAGTAATAACAGTCTCTGTTTCACAAAGTTGTTGTGAGGCTTAAATAGGGGAATGCAAGGACTCAGCAAAGTACGGTTACTGTTAGCATTAGCGTTCACGTAAACCATCAGTCGCATTGTAGCCGGCACACGGCACGTGGGTCTTGCTCTTTTTCCCGTGACTTCGGGCACGTTCACCAATGCTAGTTTACCATCATCCAGCCATCCTATCAAGGAGGACGGAGCTGGCTCCAGGCACAATTTTGAAATTTTGGCATTTCCGAACCATGAAAAATGAACATTCTCGACAGGACATTGGTTTCAAATGCTTAAGTAGTTTCACTTCTAAGATTCAGTCATATTTGGGATCTAATCTCGCCTTTCCTTGTGTATGAACATATTTGAAACTGAACAGACTTCCCTGTTCACCGGTAAAATCCAATCGAAGTTTCCCAGCTTTTGAGCAAAGGGTTGAGTCCGGTAGCACAATATAGGATTCCTCTTTAAACTCTCTGAGCATCTCACACAAAGGCCGTTTCTAAGAAAGGTTGACCCATGCTAAATACGCGGAGACCTCGCTGGTCTACAAATTTCTGGGGCAGGTCACATGGTAGGCAGGCGGCTTTGGGTAGAAGCCCTTGCCTTTATATCAGTAGCCCTGTTTCAGCCCATTGTTACCTCCAGGGGGAGCTACAGGCAGCATTGCAAATAGACGCCACCTGGTCCCGTTGAAAAGTTCTTCGTCCATTTCTGTAAGATATATTGAAGCTGCTTCACGAATCCCATCTTTAGAGCCCACTCAGTGGAAAGTTAATGGCTAAAATGTAGTTTACAGTAAGCCAATGTTATCGCTTTTCAATTTGCCTCAAAACTGCCAGGGGTGGTATCTGATTAAATAAACTCAATGGCTTAAGTACTTAAATTGGATTTGAGATGTGCATTATAAATGTCACTTGCAAAGCATTTTGCCACACTTTCATAGTTCAATTAGTACGTCCATTCTCCAGCCTTTGGTTATGCCCCGAAGAGACTGTATCTTGACTGGGCAGAAGGAGAGATGTGCTTACTGTTGAGCAACCGAACCCTTTTCTTAGTCCATGGCTTAATCGTCTCTGAAAATTGTCAATGCCACAGGCAACGATCATGTCGGGGAGCACGATGAGTTTGAATCATGAGGCCCCAACACCTCGCAGTCAGCTGGGGCGACAAGCCAGCTTCCAGGAACGGAGCAGCTCGCGGCCGCATTATAGCCAAACAACGCGGAGCAACACCCTGCCCTCCGACGTGGGCAGGAAGTCTGTCACCCTGAGGAAAATGAAACAAGAAATAAAGGAGATCATGTCCCCAACTCCTGTGGAGCTGCACAAGGTCAGGATGCTTTCTTCCCTCCCCTTGGTCACATTCAGTAGCCATTCGGCTGCGCGTGAGCACCCTGATGCAAGCATAGTGATGACACTGTACTGTTGGCTCAGCCAGGGAGAGAAGCCAGAGCTTAAAGGCAGAGCATTAGAGATTCTGTGCTCAAAATGCGATCTTTGGGAGGGTATCCTGTAAAATCGGGAGAATTCGCTTTGGAGCAATGAATTTCCTAATGATGCATTTATGACCAAAATCTTCTTGCAAAAGTTAGAGGCTCTCACATCCCATGGAGTTGCGATGAATTGGTCTTTCATTCCAACTTCTTTGGAAACGGGAGAAGGATTTTCTTTTAAAAAAATTTTTTTCGACGTGTATTTATTTTCATAAAGAGAGAACGCGTGCGCATGTGAGCAAGGTAGGGGCAGAGAGAGAAAGACACAGAATCCAAAGCAGGTTCCAGGTTCTGAGCTGTCAGCACATAGCCCGACGCGGGGCTCAAACTCGTGGGCTGCAAAATCATGACCTGCGCCGTAGTCGGAAGCTTAACCAACTGAGCCACCCAGGTGCCCTGTGGATTTTCTCTTTTACTTTTTTAATTTTTTTTAATGTTTATTTATTTTTGAGACAGACAGACAGAACATGAGCAGGGGAGGGGCAGAGAGAGAGGGAGACACAGAATCCGAAGCAGGCTCCAGGCTCTGAGCTGTCAGCACAGAGCCCGACGCGAGGCTCGAACTCGTCAACTGCGAGATCGTGACCTGAGCCGAAGTCAGACACTCAACCAACTGAGCCACCCAGGCACCCTGTGGATTTTCTAAGTATCATACACTCACAGCTTCACTGAAAATGAGCTTCAGGTGTAATGTAGGAATGCTTACTCTTTAATTGAAGGCTTATCAGTAGAGGGTTATATTATGCAGAAGACATGAAGTTCTCTTCCAGACATAATTTAGATGTCTTTGGGTCAGGACAGGGCAAGGCCTCATATGTTCCATCTCAGCCTGTGATGGTTGCCTCATTTGACTTCATGGAAGAAAGCCCACTGTGGCACCCAGAGCCGAATTTGAGTTGCTGGCAGAGTTTAAGCAAGTCATATGTAAGGGACACTGTTTGCAGAACCCAGGGAAGGAGAGCAGTAGTAAGGAGGTGTCTCTGATTTTCTTTCATAGAACTAACGCTTTATTTTTATTTAATACATAAAGATGTATAGACAATAATCATCTGTCCCACTTTTCTTGAGAACCAAGACCCTCTCTGCAGTCAATAACCTATTAACTAGAAATTAGTTGTTCGTCTTACCCAGAAAAACAAGTAAATGTTGGACTGAGAGGAGTTACAGGCCAGACACTCCCTTTTTCCGCTAAAGACATCCATTTCCCCAAGCACCCTATAAAAGATATTTTATACGTTTTGGAGCTATTTACTTTGAAGCTGACAAAGGATGTGATGAAAGAGAGACATAGAATGGGAAGTTGAGTTCTGAACTTGGTGCTCCAATCCCCAGGTTGATTCATTTCCCACCCATTCACTCATTTCATACATGTACCGCGCATGCATTCACTTAACTAGTGTGTCGCAAATCATCAGCGGGCACACGGTCTAATGGGGAGACAGTCTGGGAAACAGGGGGAAGATGGTGAGGTGAGTACAATGAGAGAGGCAAGACCAGGCTGCCTTGGGGGGGGGGGGGCAGAGGGTGGACCCTCACCCACTACAGAAAGAGACAGGAAAGGCTTGTTAGAAGTAGGTGCCGACTCTGCAGGAAGGTGGAGGTTGAAGGAAGGAAGGAAGCTTGTGCAAAGGGATGTGAAAGATTGTGGTAAATGGAGGGAGTGGAAATACCCCGATCAAGTGATCAAAGCCTTGGCTTGGAGCCTTGTGCGTTAAGAGGAATTGCAGACGTACAGAAAAGCAAAGAAGTTTTGGATATTTTAGGGCAGCGACCCAGGTTAGCCCCATGCCACAAGTTAGCTTGTGTGTCCAGCTACCCTGAACTGATGCGTCTGTTTGGTAGACACAGTCTTCGCTGCCTGTCAAATGTCCTCTTATGCTAATTGACAAACACCATTAGGAGGCTGTAAGGTCCCCCATGGTGGTTAAATAGCAGGAGCTATATAGTCCGTGCTCTTTCAGCTGTACTAAGAAAAAGTTAGCCTAACCTGATTCCCTCAGGTGTCTTAAGAATCCTGCCTTCTCTTCTCAAAAGTTCTCCTGCCCAGGCGGAGAAGAGATTACATGATAACCCATCCTCCTCCAGCCCCAAAGGGAAAAGATACCAACATGTATTGAGTTCCTATTATATGCGATACTCTGTATTTTTAGCCCTTACGATAGCCCTTCTGAGCAGATATTTATTATCCCCATCTACAGGATAGGGAAATAGCAAGTATAAAATAGACTCATTTTTCCCTCTAGAGCGAAGCACTTTCCTCAAAAGATTATTGATAGCGCACCCGTGCAAAGACCTGTCTCCCCATCCTTCCTGCACTGAAAGCATTTAGCAAAGATAATGACGATGAATGGGGTGTGCAAGTTGTTACCGCTGAGGTTTGAAACAAGTGACGATGCCGAAAATCAATCTTATTTTTTGAAAAGGCAGCATCCGCTTGCCAGCCCGATGAGTGGCAGTGTGTGGCCTATCGCTGGGACATCTGTGTGGCAGTGTGTGAACCCGGAGGCCACCGGGTCACACACACGGATGGACCCACTTGACCTTTTCTCCTTAGTGGTGGCAATAAGGGCATCGTCTGAATTGATCCCAAATAAAATAGGACTCTCGTAAGTGGATGGTGTGCTGGGCATCATAAGGCACACAAGAAGACGTAGTTGAGTGAAAAGGTAGCCAGGGAGGCTGCAGGCTGACCATGGGGAATCTGGGAGTGGTGTATGCTCACAGCCCGGGTAGCCTTTATTTTTTAAGTGAGTTCGGTTATTCGTCAGGCCATCCAGCGTTTGCTGTTAAGTGCGTTCTCCAGTCTTGAAGTGCGTGAGAAGAAAAGCCGCTCAGCCCGTGGCTGTGCTTGTATGTTGTACGTGGGGTGTCCTTTGAACGCTGCGAGATTGCCTGACACCATGAAAAAGTGCAGTGACTTGTTGATGGGATTGAGTTATCCTCCCAGTGGGGGGCTGCCAGCCTGTACTAATCCTTTGTAAAAATGAGAAAAGGCACTCGTTTGGGTGGTGGCCGTGGAATTAGAAAAACGTTCCTTCTTCAAGTTGAAGATAACCCCAAGCTGGATACACAGCTTGACAAGTGGAATGAGGGCTGGCTTTCAGTTCCCTGAGCCCCCTTGCTGGACTTTTCCAAATGGATCTGGTAGAGGAGTTCCCAAGGGGCGGCAAAGAGGAGAGCGAAGAGGCTGGACGAGGTACATGGCACGCCATCCTGAACGGGCTTGGCGTCATTTTCTGTCGCCATCTTTCTTGTGGCTGTTTGCTACTTGATGAAATCTGCGTCCTTGAGGACGGGTTACAGGTCTGGTTTTGTCCAAGCCAGCACCTACAAACTGATACTGTGTTCGCTAGGAGCTAGGTCAAGAGGATACGGATGAGTGAGCAAGTATCCATCCTCAGTTCTGGGAAGAAAAAACATAAAGCAAAAACAGCTCCAACTCTGCATGGCGGGTTACTAACGTCATCTTCGTATAGAGAGAAGACAGCGTGGGCTTATCTTCCAAGTTCTTGGGTTTCAGCTTCTTTCCATTATTTGCCTATGATTTTCCAACCAGTCCTTCTTGCCGTTCCTTCTCTTCCTTCAGACCTCCGGAAAATCCTAAGCTCAGGTCAGGGTCAATATGGTTTTCTTTCACTTCACGCCATCCGATATGTCTGAAGCTCTTCCGGGTTTGACAAAGTCTTCCTTCAAGCTGTCTACATTCATTCCTCAACCCCATAAGCTAGTTGTCCTTCATGACATTTAGAACAAACATAAGAAATGCAGCCCCACTTCCTTTGTTGGCCGTGTGAATGGGGGAGGAAATTAGAGCTGACATGATGATTTGATATTTGGTACGGTGTGGGGGACAGTGAGAGGAGTCACAGGGAGATCATACTCAAGTCCCCTGGGGCCAGTACCTCTCAGACTGTGTTGGCCGAGACGATCCGAAATACATTTGACTTCACGATTCAGGACGTGCATACATCCACTCTCATATAGGAATGAATCCAAAACTTGACTGCACGGTTTACACTAATATTTTCTATTTTTTATTTTTTTTTTCAAACGTACTCTCATATTAAGCCGATTGTGAAATTTATTGGAGTCTCAACCAAAAATTTGCCTAAAAAGTTTGGCCTAAAAAGTTTGCCTAAAAAGTTTGGCCTAAAAATCTCTGATGATCTTTACCATGATTACACGGGATGCTTGTTAAAGTTCAGTTTCCTAAACCCCACCCAGACTTACCGGGTCAGCACTTTCTGGGAGTACAGCCTAAGAAGCTGCATTTTAGCAACCTCCTCGGTGGGTTCTTTCGCACCAGAAAGATTGAGAATCACTTCTTAAGGTTTTGCTACTGGAGGTGATTTCTCTGTTTCAGGGAGGTCATTGGCAACAGCTGGGTGGCAAGGTAAAAGGGAAATGAGGCTTCATCTTCAGCCCTAGCCCTAGCCTTCTGGGTTTTATCTTTAAAATGAATTCCGGTTTGTACTGTAGCTTACCACAGATTGATTCTCTTTGCAGATAAGGAGCCTGTGATCTTAGCTACGGTTCATTGATAGCCCTTTCCCTTCTGATGCTTAAATATCCTTTATGTCCACTTACTCTATTTCTGAGACAAATTCTACCTTCACTTCTTTGCATACTTGAAAACAAAAAGATTATTTTTCTGCAAAATAGAAAGTTACCCCACACTCAGAACATTTGGGCTCTTTTTTTTTTTTTTTTTTTTTTTTTTAAATCTATTTATCTGAGACAGACAGAGACAGCAGAAGTGGGGAGGGGCAGAGAGGAAAGGAGACAGAGAATTGGAAACAGGCTCCCTGCTGCCAGGGGCTTGAACTCACAAAACCAT